CCATATAAAGCCCTATTTAATTTGAGCACTAAACCTTTGTCAGTATGTTCGAAATCTGGAACTTGTTTCATATAAATGGTCTCCTCTAGAGTAGCATGTAGAAATGCAGTACTAACATCAAAGTGGTGTATTAGCTTTTTCTGAATTCCTGCTTGACACAGTGCAACCTTAAAAGATTCACTGTGCACTGTGGGAGGAAAAACTGAATCATAGTCTAGACCATAGACCTGGGAATAACCTTGCGCTACTAGGCGTGCCTTATGTTGCAAAGACCCATCCTGTAATGTTTTTAGCTTAAACAGCCACTTGCAGCCAACCACATTTGAGTTAGAAGGCTTTTGCACCCAGGTAAAGACTTCATTGTCTATTAAGGCATTGTATTCTACTTGCATGGCTTATAACCAAGGCTTCCTTTCTTCCTCTGGCAAAGATAACACTTCCTTGTATGAGCAGGGCTCTTTTGCAGTAACATAACTGATTACTGATTGAGTAAACCCATAACGTTTAGGAGCAACCCCTTTTGTAGAGCAACTTGACACACGAACAGGCTGTGAATCTATTTTAGAATCTGCCTGTGAGGCTTGTGTCTCAGGAGAAACAGTCTCACTTTTTACCACCGGCTCAGAGCCTGTGTTAACTGTGTCACTGCTGGTTTCTGAAAGAGGTAGTATTACCTGTGGAGACTCTTCATAACCATGCAGCCTTTGCCAATTACCATTCTCACAGACACTTGCAGATCTGCTGTAACTTATCTTGTGATATTCATCACAGAACCTGTAAGATTTCATGTTAGGCTGATAACCCAAAAATGTAAGTTGCCTGGTTCTGGCAGTTCCTTTTCTCCTCAACTTGCGAGGAATGTGCACCCAAGCTTTCATGCAAAATATCCTAAGAAAACCCAGGCTTTAATCCCTGTTATACAGGACTCGGTAGGAAATGTTGTCAATAGCCCTGGTCCACAGCCTGTTAGACATATAACATGCAGCACACATGGCTTCTGCCCAAAACCTCATTTGAAGACCAGCATCAGCCAACATGGCATATATCATGGTTTGCAGAGTAGAATTTTTCCTTTCAGCTAAACCATGCTCTTGAGGAGAAGCTGTATTTGTTACTCTCTTGACCACACCATTTAGCTCTAACCACCAATCAAATTGATCTGACATGAATTCCCCACTTTGATCCACCTGTATAGCTTTAAGTGGCATAGCCAACTGCTTCCGAACATGCTTAGCCCAACCCTTAAACATGGTAAATGTTTCAGATTTATGCTTCATAGGAAAGACCCAGGAAAGAGCCCAATAACAGAAGGATAACAGAATGGCTGAAGGAGAGAGAGAATAGTTTTGGAATGCAAGAAAGGCTGAAAGATCGAAGACATGCAGATATGCTCTGGTTGAAAAACAGACTGCAGATGCTTAGAAGGAAAAATAAATTTTATAAAAAGATAGATTAATGGCTACACCTAATACCTGATAAAAAAGATTAATGACCTTAAATATATTTAATTACTTACATGGTTTAATTTATTTTTGTTTTGTTTTATTATTATCACCATTTTTATTGTTATGGTGATGTTAATTTGAAATAAGTGGTGATTATGTTTTCTTGAAGTTAGTGGTGACTAAATAAGTTTTATTATTTTTAAATTGTGGGGAAATTTGATGGAAGAGATACATATGTTTGCATGTATTAAAATAATAATGCGAATATCAATTTAGATAAGGATTAAATAGATATTGAGAAGAAGTATTAAATTAAAGGTGGTATAAAGGTTACCAAGAAATTGTTGGGGGAAAAATACTTCAAAAAAAGGTGGGGGAAGGATAAATTGATAAGGAAATGAATGAATTGTCAAATTAAGGGGGTAAATCTGGAAAAATGAGAAAATTTTGAATCAGGAGGTGGTATCTATTGAATTGTGTAATAATTCATTTGTATATATTGGTCTTAGAAAGGTTAGTAATAAGGAGGGAAAATTATAATTAATTTAAATAACACAGTTACATGTGGAAAGGCTAATTTGGTAGATTAGAATACAATGTTATTGGTGTAGATCTATAGGAAATATATGTCGATAATTAACTTAAAGGAGGTAATGAGAAAACTAAAAATAAATAAATTTAAAGAAAATGAACTTAAAAATACATAAATACTTAAAAAAAAAGGGAAGGGGATTTTAAAAAAATAATTATAATAATATTTAACACTAAACCCTGTCGCCATACTAGAAATAAAGAGTGAGCAAACTACTAAGGATGAAGAAGAGTAAAGATTGTGTATGGGAAGATAAGGGAAAGTTTAGTAAATTATCATGTATGTTTTACATTGCTAGTATGAACTTGCAATTAAGTTAAGATAATATATATGTCCTAAAGGAAATTTAAATTTAATCATTTCACTCAACACAAAGTGGTTAGTAATGTTGAGAATAAGAACAGGATATCTATTGAAGTATTACGTATGAGTGGTTAGAGGCTTTGTGTTGCTGAGAAATGAGAAGTAGAAAGTGTTTGTATAGGATCTATAAGTAGTCTTGTTGATTTGATGTTCATGTATGATACAGGTGTATATTATAAACTCAAATAAATAAATACATAAAAAACATTTAAAAACACCCAATTTGACAGCCAATAGTAAAATATAATAACTTCCATTTCTCATAGAATCTGGGGATTGATTTGGTTGTCCCCTTGAAACATCCTTTGACTCTGCTGCAAATTCTGGGAATGTATCTGAATCAATGGATTGTAGCGAAATGGATTCTCTTTGTTGGCATCAGTGGACTAGTTCTGTTTCAGAATCATTTAAACACAAGACTGAGCATAACCAAAGAGAACAAACATCACATACCATCTGCCATATCCATATATCTGCATCCTTTCCTCCCTCTTCAGTTATTCCTGATCCAAAAATTATAACCTAAAAATGAATCAACAAAATGTAGTGTAATTTTCATCCCAGGGATTTTTATATATGTATATGTTGCCATGGGAAATTGCTTGCTGTAATGTGAAACAATATAGCAGATATACATAAGGGCGCAATCTCTCCTTATATATAATTGAGTAAGAACATTCTATATAAACATTCTAAATTTGGCCCCTTTAGTGTATGGACGCTTGAACTGTCAGTCAGAAGACGCTGGCTGGGTTGACTGGCTGCTTTGTGCAGGCCCGCCCAGCGTTTGAAGGTCTTTTGCATATGGAAGCTGATTGGACTTCACTGCATTCCACACCTCAAACTTACCCCCCTCCCCGCAAGGCAGTTGGAATGTCAGTTGCATATGGAACCTTCAAGGTCTTTTGCATATGGAAGCTGATTGGACCACTCCATTCCACACCTCATACTCCCCCCGCCCCGCAAGGCAGTTGGAATGTCTGGTGGTGTGTAGGTCCCAGGATCATGTTTTAAAAGCATAGACTCCACCCTCCAACCCAGCTATTTGCTCCTGGGGAACTATTGTTGCCAATCTTGGCCCAGCAGCCATCAAACCATTCTCTTCAACCCCCTGCTGTGCAGCTGACTTTTCCCTAGGGTTGCCAATCTCCAGGTGGGACCTGGAGATCTCCCACTGATACAATTGATCTCCAGATGACAGAGATCAGTTTCCCCTGGAGAAAATGGCTGCTTTGGAGGGTAGACCCTATGACATTATACCTGCTGAGTCCTTCCGCCCCCCCCAATGCTGCCCTCTACAGAATCCACCCCCCAAAACTCCAGGTATTTCCCTCCTTATAGCTGCAACCCTACGTTCCCCTCAGTGCCTGTTGGTAGGCAACTAAGTTTGGTCCAGTCACCTACTTTGCCCTTTGGGAGAAAACATATTGGGGCCAATCCTGATAGGATTGCCAACTCCCGATTTGAGGGATGGAGCCTGAAGATGGTGAGGTTTGAGGAGGGGTGGGACCTCAGACAGGTACAATGCCATAGACTCCACCCTCCAAACCACTCAGTCCTTCATGGGGAACAATTGTTGCCAATCTCCAGGTGAGGGCTGGAGACCACTCAAAATTACAATTGCTCTGCAGAAGGGAGGGCGGAAGTCAGCTGAAATCAAAGGGGCAGATAATGGTAGGTTGATGGTTAGCTGTGAAGGAGATGGGGTTGCCAACTCCAGGCTGGCAAATTCCTGGGGATTTGAGGGGTGGAGCCTGGAGAGGGTGGGGTTTGCGGAGGGGTGGGACATCAGACAGGTAGAATGCCATAGACTCCACCCTCCAAACCAGCCATTTCATCCTGGGTAACAATTGTTGCCAATTTCCAGGTGAGGGCTACCGATCACTCAAAATTACAACTGCTCTTCAGGGAGCAGAGATCAGTTCCTCTGGAGAAAACAGTGGACTCTGCCATTATACCCTGCTGAGGTCACCACAGCAAAATGACACTGTTTGCCCAAAGCCAGAGCACTCCCCCAGAGCATCTTTCTAGATCTCATTGTATTTATTTCCACAACGGGCTTTACTGCTAGTCAGATATAAAGAAGAAAGGTGAACATGCTATATCTGTGCATCACTATGCCTATTTAAAATAAATTGTGAAATTCAAATATTGATCCAATATTGTTAAATAATAGTCAAGAATTTTTCAAGCATTGACTCTCAGAACAAAAAATATTTATACTTTTAAATACATTAAAGAAAGTCCCCTCACTGTAAAATCAATGCCCAGGCCAAACACCTGGACCTAGAAAAGCAAAATTCGGGGAGAGCACTCCTACCATGGTATAGATGCTCACTAAGAAGGGACTTTTAGAAATTCGACTCCTAAGGGGTCAGAAGGGGTAAAATGTGCTCCCCCATTGCTTCCCCATTGCTTCCTATGTGGCTGCCAGGCTGCTGCCTCCTTGTACCCCCACTCTAAGATTGGTAAGTGTTCTGAGGTAAAAAAAACACAAACCAGTTACAGGACACTGTAGAGAGCTAATGACAGCTGAGGAAATCAGCCCAAGCGCCTGTGAGGTGCAGCAATGTGGCTGGCCCAGCCTTCCTGGTGGTTTCAAACTCACCCCCCTACTTCCTACACCTGACAGGCAGCTGTCTGTCAGGTGCAGCAGTGTGTGCAGGGTGCTTAAAGCCATCAGTGAGCCTGCCCCAGCAGTAATGCCTTAGTGATCCTGCCGGCCCAGCCTCCACAGTGCCTTTAAACACAATTCCCCCCCACAACACCAGACAGGTGGCTGTTTGTCAGGGGTAGAAGCAGGGCCAGGGTACTTTAATTCACCAGGGAGGCCACCCCAGCAGGATCACCTTAGCAATGCTGCTGACCCCGCCTCCCCAATGGCTTTAGTCACACTCCCATCCACTATGGAAATATACTCCAAATTTGTAGAAAAGTGGTTTCCTGTATTAGGTTATTGGACTTCTCACTATGTGGGTTCTAGAAAATTGGTTCATATGAACTTGCTTAATACTTGATTGCTAGGATGTTGTTTTGAATATGTAGTTATGTCCCACTTCTTAAATGCTTCTCATTTGTGTTTTAAAAAAGCATGCCCTGCATCCCTGCCTAAAAAAAGCAATGCCCAGGCCAAACCCCTGCACCAAGAAACCCAAAATAAGAGGAGTACATTCCTACCATGACATCAATCCCCACCACAAAGAGATTTCTGAAAAACATGACCCCTAAGGGTATAAAAAAGGGGCAAAATGTGTTTCCCCAATTGTTTTCCATGTGCCTTGCAGGCTGCTGCCTCCTTGCTCCCCCCCCCAATTGGCCAATCGTGTAGCTCAGAGTTCTGAGGTAAGACCTGCCTGTTTGCACCCACCTCCCTCTGATTGCTCAGCTGTGGATCTCAATGTTCTGAGGTAAACTTCACATTTCAGACTTCACATCATCAGTATTATAACTGGATTTACAGAACTTAAATACCATAGCAAAGCATGGGTATCAGGCTAGTTAATAATAAGTCTGATACTTATGTTTATTACAAAAGGTCAGTTGCTTAACTGCTATTTTTAAACAATGGCATTAGCTGTAAAATAATTGTAATGAATTATTATAGCTTCTCACAATGTGAGGTAAGTCTGCTATAAATGTAAACAATTCATCCTGGAATGCCTTAAAAGAGAAACAAAGCAAAATAACCACAAGTATCTTTTAAACATGTCTTTGGAAATACTTGCAATAATTGTAGGTGGCTAATAACAGAATTCAACTGACAATATCTAACCAGTCAAATTGACTGGCATGCATAACTCTTTATGGAAAGTTTTTACCTCGGTTTCAAAGTTATCATCAAAAAGTCTCAAAGATTTCTTCTGCTGGATATCAACATGATGATCATTCAGCCAGTCTTTCAAGGAAAAGGGATCTATGACCTTGGTGTCATTTAGTGGGAAAGGAGTTTCTTTCAAAAGGTCATCTACAAACAGAGCAAAAAAAAAAATGCAGTAGTGCTTTCCTTCTATTCGCTTTTTAAAAATAATCATGATTGCTTCAGATGTGGGTAAGGATGTTATTGGTGCAACAGCTCAAGTTCCATGTAGTGTGGTACAATTGGGAACAATTCAGCATAAAGCTAGAGGAAGAGGAAAGGTGTAGAAGTGGACTGAACATTAGACTTGCTATGGGGAGGTGTGTGTTCAAACACCTGCTCAGGTATGAAAAGGGTTGCTGGCTTAAGCCACATTGCAAGAGTATTAAAAGGCTAAAATGGCATGACTTCCCATATACTGTTCTGGGCTCTTTGGAGGAAGGGTGTGATATACATGTAAATATATTAATCAAAGCACTCATATGACCCATTGATCTCAACAACAGAAAGTTAAGCATGTTTCCTAATGAAATCAGTAAGACTTACAGTAGTAATTGGTGTTTACCATGTCTTGATTCAGAATGACCCCTGAGCTTTTCCAGCAAATATTTGAAAAACTATTTCCCCTCCCCCCCCCAAGAGATCCCAGAAATCTTGGCAAAACTCGGCCCATTCTAAACACTTCCTTGTGCTGTTCCCAGCCTTCCTGGAACATGACAAAATTTCTGCTTCAAAGTGTAGTAAAGTGGCCTTTATTTCCATAGAGATCATTCATAATGCATAGACTACCTACTGAAGGTCAAACTAGAGATGACAGTTATTGCACTTCTGCATTTCAAAAGTGTCAAAAGCTGCTGTGGTATGATTAGGATTGGGATCATGTCAAGGGCAGGGAGGTTAATTTTCCTCCCATGCCATTTTCCTGAGACAGTTCACACACACACACATACATGCTCACAGACAGACACCCCCAAGTAATATCTGCTGCTCATGGGGGCAAAGAGCAAGTTTGGTGGAAGAGCAACTTGCATTAAGAAAATGGCACAAGAAGGGAGGCGGGGTCTATGGCACAACAATGGTGGACGCCTTTCCCAGCTATCTGGGAAGGCGCACCACACAGCAGCAAGGGGGAGAGGTGCCGCTGGATCGGTACCAACACAGGAGTTCGGGGAGAACTCCCAAGCCATAGGGCTTTTGAGGGTGAGCCTCTTTTCCTGCTAACTGCAGGGAGATGGAGGCTCCCCTCCGTCCTGACGGTCCCTCTCGCTGACTGTGTCCTCTTAGCAAGGCCACAAGCTGTGTCCACCCAATCAAGCGCAGGAGATCTAGCGGAGGAGCCATTAAGAGCGTGGTCAAGATAAAGACCAACAATGAACTGTGAGTTAAGGAGCGAACTGTGAGTGAAAATGAGCAATTTGCCTTCAGAAGAGAAAATCCCCCCCCCCAAGGAAAAACGTTTTGAGCGATTGGAACGTGCTGAGAGAGGGACACCTCTCAATGCATTTACATAAACGAAGGAGGGGGAGAGAGAGAGAAACGATTGTAAATGGATACTTCAAGCGAAATCCCCCCCTGAAACCCCTTAAGCGATTGGAGGAGGGTGCCTCTCTGACACGTTTGCATAAACGGATGAGGGGAGGGGGAGAGAGAGAGAGAGAGCTGTAAACGGATACTTCTGAAAGACTTTATTTATAAGCGTGCAAGCCTGTTGTGGGAGATCTCCATGAGCTTTTAAACAGCATATGCGATTTGCAGAGCCGGGAAGAAAGAGATTTTACTAAAAATAAAACGTTGAAATGGCAGGCACTCCAAAAAAGATGGCGAAAACTCCGAGAAGAAGGGAAGTTGACATCATTGCACTAATACCAGAAGCCACTAAGCCGATTCTGGAGCAACTTGTTGGTATTAACCAGCAGCTTGCCAAGATAAATCAACAGTTTGTATCCCGGCAGCTCCAGGAGGCGATAGTAGAAAAAATGGAATTGAGGCCTTTCAAAGCGAATGAGATGGACACTAAATTAAACAGCGATCTCAATGAGAAAAGAAGAAAAAGCACAAGAGAAACAGGAAAGATTTACAAGGATTTAACTCCTTCTTTGCAAGTGTTCTTAGAAAGTGTCATCTTAAATCCTGCTGAGAAAAAAGAGCTGGAACTCTCCTTCACAATCAAGAAACCTTTGAGATGCCATTGGACCCCGAGACCAGAGAGGAAGAGACTTAAGGCTGGCGGTTTTATCCCTTTGGACGGAAGAAGACTAGTTCCTCACAAAGTATATTGTTTATTAACAGCTTTTCTTTTTTACTAACAGTAGTTTAACAGGGAATGATTTCCTAAGCTTGGGTTTTTAGTTAGGTGTGGGTTGTTTTTTTCTTTCTCCTTAATTGTAGTTCCCCTATTCCTATTTTTTCTTGGTAGTTTTTGTAGTATCAAAAAAATAAAAAATCCCCTCCGGGGGCTTAAAAGAAAGAAAGAAAGAAAGAAAATGGCACAAGAAGAGAGAAAGAGTAAAATACCCCTTTCCACCTACTAGAATCCTGATCTTAATCAAGGCCCCAATCACTACTATGAGCATTTCTGAAAAAAATGGCATGAGATTATAATTGAGCTTACTTTATACTACTTCTACCTCTTCATTCCACCAGCTACTTCAAGCCTGGCATCCAAGCCCTGGAATTCTACAAATCCGCTTTCATCTAAAACTCAACAGAACTAATCTGACATGTTGAACGGCATAGTTGATTTCCTCCCTCATGACATATTCTAAAGTATTATGGAGACTTCATTAAGTGGTCTTGAAACACAAGACCAGGTGCTGCACTTCTAAACTTAATGAAGTCTCTCTGCTAGAATTTTTAAATATAACTAAAAGGCTGGCTGCCATTTCGCATTTTGTTGTAAGGTTTACAGGTTTGTGCCCCTGTGAAATTAACTTCCAATCTTCATTTCACTATGAAGAGAATGTTTCTTTCTTTTCCCAAAGCCACAAGATGCTTTTACCGCATGCCTCCTGGGGGTTTTTCAATAATGACCAAAAATAAGAAGCAGAAACAGGTAATGTATCTCAGTGGCTTTTGCATTCCTGTATGTACTTTTTGACCCTGACCTGGATAGCCCAGGAAAGCCCAATCTTGTCTTATCTGGGAAGCTAAGCAAGGCTGACTCTGGCAAGTACTTGAAAGGGCAACCTCCAAGGAATACCAGAGTTTGAAACGCAGAGGCAGGCAATCAAGCCACCTCTCTGAAAGCATCCAAGCTCCAGTAGGGGTCACCATAACTTCCAGGCAAGCACACAACACACACACACACACACACAAACAACAACAAATGTGTGCCTTTTGTACTTTTATTGTAAAGTAAAGAACATAGATATTTGTTTAGCTTTTAAAAGAAATCCTTACAGCACCAATGACAAACTTTTGGGATAGAGAGGCATAGATCCTTCCCCTGGAAGAGGCTTAGAATCATTACATGAAGGCAGAACACACAACCGAGAGCACACCTGTATTGCTTCCACGTGGCAATGGAACTCTCATGCAGACACACTTGTAGTAGCCCACATGGGGAGTTCCTTTACTTTTCTGCTTCCAGTCCCCTATGCCAACCCTCCCCACACCAATGGAGGAAACTGGGGGGAGGGTTCTTGACTAGTAATTGACATATTGCTTATCTCATATAACACTAAAGTGATGTATACCAGGTTTTTTTTAAAAAAATAACAATTATATAATTCCTTTGGAATTTCCTTCTGATTAGAAACATAAGTTAGAATCGGTGACTAAATGTTCTTAAACTCTAAGAGGGTTCTAGCTGATGTCGTCTGATTCACATTAAAAGTAAGCCTAGTTAGAACATAGTGATTCCATAGTTGTGTATGCCACATCTGTAGAGTCAGGGCAATATATCAATTATTGATTTTTTTAAAAGCCCCTTAAAAGGACTCCAGTGGTATGGGTGAGATGGCAACTCAAACCAAGTCAAACCAAAACACCTGATTAGAAGCACTCCACATTGGATGTGATATTAAATGTGCAGTTGTCACCAAACACATTAGCTATAGAAGAGTTTAGCTCAGGTAAGTAACATAGCATTCTGTTTGGGTCAAGGTTGGAGGGCACATAATACAGCAACTTTGTTGGAGTTAAGCAGGTCTGGGTCTAACTGATGCCGGTGTATAGTGCTTTTGAGTTTGATGGTGGAGATCAGGTGGGATATAAATCTAATAATAAAATACTCCTGAACCTTCTCCACATTGCTGGTGAACTGGAAGATTGTGGCTTCACAACATCTGGTGAGTTCTAGTAGACATTAGGACTACGTTTAGACATTACAATAAACCATAGTTGTAAAAAAACCAGTTTAAACCTTGGTTTGTGCAACATACTCTGGTTAGTCTTAACAAAAGAAAGCAGCAAATTGTAGTTTGTACATTAACTTCGGTTTGACTTCTTCTTTGTCTGCCAGATGGAAGAACATTTACTCTGCGTCATAGTCTATGGCTAGGTGACCACAGGCTGTGGTGGTAGTTGACAAAGTTTGGTTTGTGAATTTTCCTATCACAACAAACCACAACTAGTACAAACTACAGTTAACAAATCAGCTGCACATTCCACTTTGAAATCCCAATTTACTGTCAACAACAAACTGTGGTTTGTTGGGCTGTTGTGTTCAGACTGAAATTTGAGTGAATCATGGGTAATAAACCACAATTTATAGTTATGTTTGAATGCAGCCTTAGGGTGAGGGGGGGAGGAATATGGCTGCCATTTTCTGTTGCAGTCACACATTAGGCCTTCTAGTTAGGCCCTCAGTTAAATCTAAACTATTGTAAAATATGGGTACTGACAGTTGTTAAACATTTACAACTATATGGTTTGCCCTCCAGGCTTTGTTTGGCTGCAGACCAGAAGGTCTGTAGCTCAGCAGTTCAAGACCCTAGTGCCACAGGGCGGAGTGAGCTCCTGTCTCTAGCCCCAGCTCCTGCCAACCTAGCAGTTCAAAAGCAAGAAACAGCAAGTAGATAAATAGGTGGGAAGATAACAGCATTCCGTGTGTCTCGGCATTTAGTCATGCTGGCCACATGACCACAGAAACATCTCCGGACAGCGCTGGCTCTTCGGGTTGGAAATAGAGCTGAGCACTGCCCCCTAGAGTTGGATTCGACTGGCTTTCAAGGAAGGGAAACCTTTACCTTTTTATGAAAAATCACTCTGTTTTTAAAAAATATTTTAGTTCTTTTTTTAAAAATAAATTTTATTGGTTTTATACTGTAATTCCTACTTCCTAAGGGTAATGGGTAAAGGGAACATACTATTTCTAACTTAAGACAAGATTTGACGTTGAGTTACAAATTCATAAATCACTCCTGCATTAACATGGTATATATAAAAAAAGTATGGAAACAGTGAGATCAAAATTCTGTCTGGTAAAGATTGGTTACACTAAGGTCAAAAGTTTGTAATTCAAAGTATTACACTAAAGTCAAAAATTTGTAATCCAGAGTAGATTGTTTATTCTTGGGTTTCTTCTTCACTCTTGATGCTTTGGGTGCTGCTACTCCTTTCTCAGACTCTGAAGTTGAACTGCTGGAGTCATCCGAGGCATTATCCATTTCTTCCTCGCTGGGTTCCTCTCCTTCCTCCAAATTTAAATAATCATCTTCATCTGGGCCCACTAGTCGTTTCAAAATATTTTTGGCCTTTTGGAAAGAGTCAATTTTGATTTTCTTATTGTTATATTTGAACACGAGTCCTTTTGAGAAGCTCCATCTGTAGGTTATTGATTTATTTTGCAAGAAAAGAATTAAGTCTTTATATTGACATCTTCGTTTCCAGATCTCAAATGGAATGTCTTTTAATATTTTAATTTCTTCCTCATTAACTTTTAATGTTTTTCCCGATGTAGCTTTTAAAACATTGTCTCTCATTGTTCTCTTAGAGAATTTAATGTAGATTTCGCCTGGTAGTTTTTTCCCCCTTATAAAGTCAGGATATGTGCGGTATGCCAATTCCATATCGTTCTGGAGATCCTCTTGTTTTAAATCCGAAACTGCTGCAATCGCTCCACTTAATGTTGTTTTTAAATCTTCTCCCTGCTGTTCAGGAACGCCTTAAAATCATAAAACATGCATAGATTTTTTCAGTTGAAGTAGAAGTAGTTGATTTTTGTCGGTGTTTCTTTCTTTTTTAACTTCTTCCAGTTCTTGCTTAATGTCTGTAGTTCTTGTTTCAACTTTCTCAATCCTTTTGTCTGTCTGTTGGCTCTTTTTTCCATGTGGGCAAGTTGCTTTTGGACAGAATCCATCTTGGTGTTGATAGTTGACATCTGCTCCAGCAGAAGGTGCAATGCTGCGGCGAACATATTGGGAAAGTCTGCAGCCGCTTCCTGTGTCTGGGTGGGAGGCATTGGTACAGTACTTCCTGGGGGAAGTTTTTTCTCCACCACCATTCTCCTCCCTCTCCCAGACATGTTTGCAAAGAAGAAAAGTTTTATTTTTAAAGTAAAATTTCTCTTAATTCAGCGCTTCTTAGCTTAAAATGCAGTTTTCAAGCTCAGCAGAAGTCTTGCATGGTGAGTTTCGTTCTTTCTCTCTTTTCTATAGTGCTTAGAAACCACTCAGTTTCGAGGAGGGGTGGAACTCCGACCCTTCCCCACCCGCTGCTCCTTTCCTCAATGATCTGACAGACCAAGACTTCTTCGCTTATACAGAGGACTAATTAACTCACTGTTTAGGTGTGTTTGGTTGTTGCAAGAGGCTTATTTTCACTTATTTTCTTGTCCACTCATCTGACGGTTGGTGCTGTGCACCATACTGGCTCCGAGGCATCAAGACCTCTTGGGGACAGGCAAGCCTCGACCCCTCGACCGTTGCCTTGGGAGAGGCTTATCCCAGCTCCCCAGGCTGGGGGTCTCCTACAGAGACCCCGGGGAGTCTGGAACCAGCCACAACCCCTTCTGATCGCCTTGGCTTGGTGTGTCTCCATCGGAGGTTCGATGAGACGCATTCAAGAGCAAGTTGCCGTAAACCAGAAAATCAAAAATATTTTAGTTCTTTTGTACTTAAAAGTAAACAAGATTAGTGGTTTAATTATTGGAAACACATCTGAAGGAAGAAAAAAGAATTTCATAACAGTTTTTAAGAAAACAACAACGCAGAATAACTCCTTTCCTTTTTTAGTAATACTGTCACTGGAGAGACCATCTAGAAAGGCAGTGGGTAAACAGTAACCTCTATAAGCTCTCCCAACACTTTGCTATGGGAACTGAACCAGAGCATATGTTTATAGAAGAAGCTGTCATAGAAAGCACAAAAATTTTGGAGCAAAATTTCTTCTTTATGTGTAAATTTTTCTAATAAAAGTGTAAGTTTTTAAGGGCTCGTGGTGGTTCTGAAAAGCTCAGAGAAAGTCCTTTCAGCACTATGGAAAACTGCCTTCTTGAGTTTCAGGTTTGGGGCCTTATCAATAGGGTAGAATTTTTCCCTTTGAAAAATAATTTGATTGTGCTAATATTAATATTTTGTGTACTGTTCAGCATTGTCTTCATCCAGTACTATAATCCACAGAAGAGGAGAAATAACAAGGTAAGGTCCTGACAGCAATGATAAAATCAGTATTGTTGCAAATGCTCGGGGCAGATGAGGATTCTGGGACTCAGTTACAATGCTAAATGTACTTTGGAAGAGATGGGGATCCCACTATTTCTCATGCAGCAGTAATTTAATTTAGAGTAGTGTTAACAGAGAGAAAGAGATAAAGCACATACAATTAAAATAATCATTATTGTTGGCTGGCTCATTGTCCTGAGTCTGAAATTAGTTTATATTACCTGGATTGGGTTTTCCGTTTTGATACTGCTTAGAGCTGAAAAACCTGCAATAATAAACATTAAGCCAAGGATCATCAGAAAAGGGATTGCAAATCAAACTGTTGATATAGTATACCAGCTCCTGGTGCACACTGATGCACAGACTTGTCAGAGGTAGGTCTATCATTGGCTGTTAGCCATGACAGCTGAATGGCACCTCAGAGGCAGATTATTGTCAGATGCTGGAGAGAGTCAGCAGGCTAGGATTGGTATCTGTGGGCACTACTTGTGAACTTCCCTATGGGCATCTATCTGGCCACTGTAGAAAACAAGATGCTGGGCTAGATGGACCATTATTCTGATCCAGCATAGCCGCTTTTACGTTCTTCTTGTTTGTAACACCTCCTGCCTCAGCTTTGCGTTCCTAGAATATAGAAACCTAACACAATAACTGTGAAGCCTGTTTAGTAAAGTAAAATTCTTGATAATTCAGTAAGACTTAGACTGTATCTGTCACTTGTTTCCTCCTTTCTATCTCTTAACTATTTACCAGCTCATTATCAGAGTTAGATCCTGCATATGAGAACACCAATTGACACATTAGCACAACATGAGTGGCTCCACCAGCTATATAGCTGTCACATTTTTATCCCAGCTTTCTTCCAAGGATCTCAGGGCAGCAAACAGGGCACTTCCTTCCACCATCTCTCCCTATAATATAATTCTGTAAGACGCAAAGTCACGCAATGCGCACCTATAGTGTATGGACGGCTCGCCTGTCCGTCAACGGTGTGCCCACGTCCCATTGGTCACGTCGTCTGAGTCCCACCTCAGATGCAGCTTCAAGCGACCTGCGCAGGATCTTCCCGGCAGCTGGAGGCGGCAGGCGGCTGCCACGGGCGCCGGGCTAAGGCCAGCGGCCGGCTGCAGCACGGCGGAGGAGGCGGGTGATGTGCGGAGGGGTGGCTGGAGGTGACCGCCGGCAGCGTGCTCACACAGTAGAATTTCTGCTCACAAGACTCCACAGCTTACAGGGAACATTGGGCGAGTGGCTCGAGACGACGGCCGCCAGCCTCAGACCGGCGGCCGCCTGGGTCAGGGCGGAGAGGGGGAGGAGGCGACGGGGGGGGCTAGCTGCCCGTTGTATTGCCCTGCTCAACGGGCCTTGCTTCCTGGTTAACCTATAAAATAACCCATTGAGGTAGATTAGGCTGCGAGAGACCAACTGGCCCAAGATTTCCCATTGAGCATGGCGGGGGATGGGGAAATTTAATGTCAGGTCTCTTTAATGAAACTACTCTGTGCTGTATCTCAATATGCATTGTTAGCTTCCTGTTGCCTTTGTAGTTCTCTGTATCAGAAAAACAGCTTGTAGAGCACTTTGTGTATTAAAACCTAAGTAGTAACTGCTTATATTCTATGCAATAAATGGAGAAGACTTACTCTTGGATTATTGGGATAAGTTGTGTACCAAGGTCATCACAGTGAAACCACCTTTCAAAAAGAACATCAGTTGATTCTCCAACATAGTATCTGGCAAGAATGAAAAAATGCTTATTGAATAATTCCAGCTTAAAATACAAGGCTGCTAGTATGTTGTTCTTCACAGATGTTATGCCACAGTAAAATGTATAATAAAATTTTGAATCAGATTTGAACACTCTTATTCCAAAAGGATAATAAAACTTACAATCATTGAGAAGGTTGAAATCTGATTCTAGAGTAGACTAAATTTAGTTTACTGTATGTGTTGGCAGAAAATTCATGTTTTCAACCACTGATGATATAGCATTTGAGTCAGTGCAGGCTAGGACAAGCTAAATGAGTTTCCAGGCATCATTGGAAAGACTAGCAAATCGTGGTATAAGAATAAATTAAAGAGAAAGCCAAAAGGCCCAACTGGCATGGAAAATCCAAGATCAATGATCAAATAATACAAACAAATAAAATACAATAAATATACTTCTTTTCTAATTGAAATGTCTTTATGTAAACAGTGTGTTTTGTAGTGGTATAGTACAGGTATGCCTAGTAAGGAATGATAAATAAAACTAGTAAAAAGATAGAATACACCCCAACTTGCATCGATCTCCTATTCTCCATTTCTCCATTTTACCCTTCCAACAACCTTGTGAGGTAGGTTAGGCTGAGAGAGTGTGACTGGCCCAAGATCACCCAGTGAGTTTCTATGGCAAGAGTAGGGATTCAAACCTAGATTCCGATACTAGTCAGACACTCTTAACCATTATACCATACTGGCACTCAGTCTTAGATCTCAATATCCAGTCTTCCAGACTGGCTGGGATGCCGAGAGATGACCTCCTCCTGCCAATCACACCTGTACTTGAAATTGCTCATCAGCCTTGCTGTATTAATGTTTGGTGGTGATCCGTGTTATAGCACATATAGTTCTACTGTCACATTTAGTTCTACTTTACCACATTTAGTTCTACTTTACCATAATCAGTTTGCCTGACAAGATATACTACATTATGTACAGCTAATTAATTTGGATGAATGGTACTACTCTAGAATAAATGCCCCATAAATTGTATTAGCTGAAGAATCCATCTAAATGAGCATTGGATTCATGTGTGCATTTGTACAGATGTAAGCACAAGTACAATCATAGTGATGAATGCAGTTACAGTTACATTAAAATTAGCACCCTGATCCAGCATGAGTGATCAACATGCTTAAGCAGCTTGTGTGCACCCCAACAAGCACTGAAATGCTCAGCAGAGCCTTACTGAACTGGTAAGAGGGGTCTTTTGATGCTAAAAAGGAAAGTGCATCCACCATGAGAACCATGAATTTTACACAGTGATGACTACTGGAATTATACTTGATTATGATTACTGAAAAAACTGGAGTTCCCCCCTACCCTTTACATTAATGGACTGTACACAGTAAATTTATTTATTTATTTATAATTAATTAATTTATAATTATAAAATAATTATAAAAACATGGATCACCATCTAAAAATACATGGCTTTTATCAAATTAGTTAACCAGATTCAAAATTATTCAAAATTTGAGATCAAAGACACACAATCCAGCCCCATTAAAAAAAACCAGGAGTTTTGCCATGGTAACTGGAATTTTATTGTACCTTAGGTTACTGATTCCAAGTTACATGAGGCGCCATGCAAGCAAGGCTTTCATGTGAGACAAAGCCCCACATACAGAAAAGGGTGCTTATGCTGCTTTCCCTTATAGGCAGTGTGAAGAAATGCATTTTTTCCTGGGAGATTTGAAATGAGCAAAACCTCTACTGGGCGTTTTAAGGTCCCCGCCCCCTCTGAGAAGAGAACAGGCAGGATGGAAAGAAGTCAGTTCAATTGCTTCCCAGATGTACCTCAGCTCACCTTCATACAAATGCTAATAAATCTAGCAAGAAAGATAATGGGTGGGTCAAGCTCTTCTCCTTCTCCAAGCAGGGAACAGAGATTTGGAGGACTTTAAACTAGAATGGATCAAGGAAAAATCTCCAGGAAGAAGCCCCAGGAAACACTTCTCTGACCTGGCCTGATCTGGTCAGGGGGCTGGGAGGAAAGAGAGGTGATAAGAACTCTTTGCAGCAGGAAGAAGGTCTCTTTCTTTGGGAGCAGGTGCCCATTGACCATGTGCTCACCTAAAGAGCTGGAGAGATCTTCAAGGTAACAGTAACACTGTAGGGATATAGAACTCCTAAGCTAAAGAGCTTGTCCTGTATATTTAACATCTGATAGGACATGTATACAGAGAGGGACAGAGGATTTGTGTTTTACCCATTTCTTTGGGATCTCTTGCTCAATCTGGTGCTGTGTTAAAAGTGTGCTTGTAAACATTTTCTTTCCAATAAGTATTTTATAACTTTTGATCCTGGGAGTGGTTCTCTGTACCACATAGACCTCCACCATCTCGGACATGCTATTTTAAAAGAAGCACCAAGAGGAAGGTAGGCAGTTGGCAAGTGGCTATTCCTCCAGAGGTGCACAAGGCATTAAACTGTACCTGTGGTGACCAGGTGCTGTGAAGCAGGTGACACAGAGGCTAGGCATCAGAACTTGGAAGGGAAGCTGGGACCCTCCCAGTGGGCAATTCCTTACAAAGGTCAGGTGGTGATGGCAAGCTACCTGAAAGTTTAAGAAAAGCCTCTCCAGATGTTGAAAAAAACCTAGGAGGGCATGGCGGAATAGGACCTGCAGGCCAGAGCAGCTTGTTCTGCCACAGTCAACTAAATAGGACAGTCACTGCTCACATACATTTTTGTGTACATCAGAAGCATATACGTCCATACTGGAAGAATTTGATAAGGCCCATGTGTTTTCAGTCTTAGGAAAAAGGAAGAATTCCCGTTGCCTAAAGTACAAAACCAAACCCTTACACCTAAATCTGGCAATCTGCTTCAGATGCGAGAAGTCCTTGTCTAGTATGTTTTCATTCCACCCTTCCTTCAGGAAGCTCAGTGCAGCATATATGGTTCTGTCTTCCCCACATTATCCTCACAACAACCTTATGAGGGAAGGAGGGTTGAGAGAGCAACTGGCCCAAGTGGCCCAGCAAGGTAATGACACATAAAAAAATTGAACCCAGGTCTCCCACATCTTGGTCCAGCATTTAACTACTACCACACTGTGCCTACCTGTCTCCTTCACTTACAAAACTATCCCCATTCACTTCAATACAAGAGACAGCTCCCTCCATTGAACTGAAACCTAAACTCATAAGCACTTGGAAGCAGAGACAGAACTCTATATTGGAGGAGTAGCACTTCTCACTACACATCATACATGTTGGCTCTGTGGTTAAACACATGCTCTGCGTGTAAATTCAATCTTAGCATTATTGGTTTCGCACAGTTTAGGAAAGTCCTTTTTCTTCAGACCCTGCAGAACTGCTGCCAGTCAGAATAGACAGTTATGAGCTCGATAGCCAATAGTTTAATTCAATGTCATGCAGTGTCATGCATCCCCAGAATGTTCCCAATATTTCACCTGAGTCCATCAGTTTCTGTCTTTAACCTTTTCCTTTCAATCACCAATCCCACAGTGTTTTTGTATCGTTGAGGAGAGTGTGGAATCCTGGCTGGTAAGAGAAACATCTGCCCAGAAAGAAAGTTGAGGTAACATAAGTCTTTAGCATTAGGTTTAGAGATGTTCTAAAATAAATCATTATAATTTTAGATCTGGTATTTAGGAAGAGACCTTTATTATTTATTCCTGGTTTTTGGGTTAGACAGTACTAGTTTAGGATTCAAATACATGTGGGGAGGGGGGAGGTTCTAGAATTTCAAGACCATTATTTTCAGTGGGGGAACCAATTTGATGTTTTTAAAGATAATGACACCAATTTTGCCCAAACCGTAGTCCTCCCTCTGTTCTAAAGACCCTCTCAATTTCAAGCAGAATAGACAAAGGGATTCAATTTTACAGAGCCCCAGGGCTATTTTTGGGCAGGAACGCACAGGAACGGAGTTCCGGCTGGCTCCCAAGTTGGCCACGCCCAGCAGGAACTCATTAGCATAATAGGCCACACCCAACAGCAGAAACTCATTTGGATTGGCTAGAATTAGGGGTGTGTGGCCTAACCAAAAAGCCCTGGGTTTTGACAACAAACAAAGTAAAGAGAATAAGAAGCAAAAGGTGGGTGTGGCTGGATGACCACACTTCTGGTAACATGGGGGTGTGGCCTAATATGTGAATGAGCTGTACTGTCAGGGGTGTGGCTTAATATGCTAATGAGTTCCTGCTGTTGGGTATGGCCTATTATGCTACTGAGTTCCTGCTGGGCTTTTTCTACAAAAAAAAGCCCTGCAGAGCCCTGAAGTAGCTGCCCCTCGGCACACCTCTCTCACTATTTCCTGGGGGAGGGGGGAACGTGGCAGTCCTACATTACAGCACTAGCTGCCATCTTAAACAAAAAAAAAATCCTTGCTGCCTCTGGTTTCTTTACATAATCTTACAGTGACTGGCTGACAATTATTTTCCCCTCATACCACTGAAATCTTTGCATTTGCCATCCTTCCTTGTTGTGATCCATCTCTTTTCACAAAGTAAGGAAGATTTCCTTGCCGAAGAAACCCCCTTCTACCCTGTCACAGCATCCTTTGAAAATTATTCAATTAAAAGAAATAGAGCATATGTGTGTGATTGCCTGTGATGATTTCATCACCCAGTTGCTACGAGACATATGCCTTGACTCTGGGCATTTAGAGTCAAGGCTTAATTACTGCTACTATAAGGCGTTCCTGGTGGGAGTGGTCTCTCATTCCTCTGAAAATGTCACCTGGCTCAGAGCAGCTGCTGCAGGCCATAGCAGCAGTGACTGCAGAGGAAGAGGAGGAACAGCAGCAGGAACTGCTGTTTATAACAGTAAGCACCTGAACACAAGAAACAATGGGGGGGAGGGAGTGTTTTTCCTAATGCCTAAAACTTCTGGATTTTGTATTTACTGTTATAAAAATCAAAATAACAACCTGAAACAGAGATTTTTGTGTATATTTCCAGTTCAGGAATTTTAAGATGTGCACCCCTACTAGGTTTCATTTTCTCCATCTCTCTCCTTCAAAGACTTCTCACTTCTCATTTTCCCTCAGCTACTGTAGTCATTCAGATGTTCCTTGGCAACTGGGGCCATAAGAAGACTAATAACGAAGTAGATAACAGTGGCTCCTTCCCCCCTTGCACTGTTAATATATGTGTGGATATATGACCATTCCCTAACTAATTAAAAATATAACTGCTAGAAACAATTAAAATGAAAAACCAACTGCTCTCTCTGTGGAGCATGTTGTATGTTAGCATAATTTGGGTTTGGGTAATATAAACGACAGAGAAACTTGCTGCTAGCATAAGAGGATTTCCAACATAATTATCCATCTGCATTTCTCCATCATTGCAAAGGCTTGTTATAAGTCAGTGGGGGATATGGTTTTCGTCTAATTTATTTTACTTGTACAAATGGTAGTGTGTAGTCACCAGTGAGAAGCATAAAACTGTGTGCAGAAAGATCTGCTAATTGTGTGGTGAAGGGAGGAAAAAAGAACACACTTCATAAGCAGCTAATTGCTAGTCTAGAGTTATGATAAAATCTTTGAGATAAAGCACTGGCAAATGGTGGTGGGCTGAAGTCCACAGCAACTAATTTGCATTTCCCACTCCACTCCATCAGAAGATACAAAGTCAGTAAAATTTAATCTTGCAAAGGGCTGGCTTAGGGTGGTGTTTCATACAGGTGGCCAACCTACAAAGCTGACATCACAGCTGACACTAACGTTGGGTGTTAAAGGTAGTCCTGAATTGACACATCAGTGCTGACTGGCCTGGTGGTCTGATCTTCATTTCTACTTGACACCTTAGTGCTACACTACTGCCTCCATCCTAGCTTAGCAGACTCGAGGCGAAAGCACCCCAAGGCAGGGTGTTTAACAAGCAGGGCTATTTTTACACACAGGAATGGAGTTCCGGCTGGCTCCCAAGTTGGCCACGCCCAGCAGGAACTCATTAGCATAATAGGCCACACCCAAGAGCAGAAACTCATTAGGATTGGCTACATTAGGGGTGTGTGGCCTAACATGCAAAGGAGTTCCTGCTACAAAAAAAGGCCCTGGGTTTTGACAACAAGGTAAAGAGAATAACAAGCAAAAGGTGGGTGTGGCTGGATAACCACACTTCTGGTAACATGGGGGTGCAGCCTAATGTGCTAATGAGCTGTGCTGCCAGGGGTGTGGCCTATTATGCTAATGAGTTCCTGCTGGGCTTTTTCTACATAAAGAGCCCTGTTAACAAGTATATTTTCTGTCTTCAGTATGCCCGAACTTCTACCTTCAGTATTTTGAGTTTCCAGTCATGAATACTGATATGTGCATTATCCTATTCACCATAAATGACAAACTTGTACATCAAGATGATCTCAGATAAGGCTATCTCCCGGTATGTGAGGTAGGAGTGCCAAAAGTATAATGGCAGAAAAGGGCTTGTATGCACATATGTACAGACCACAGTGGGCAGTCTCATGGCACTGGTACTTACTTTGCTTTGGATGTAACCCACTTGCCCTAAAGATCAATCACTGCTGGTATACAAGAATATAAAACTTCAGGCTCAATAAATCAGAAAATTGGATTAATAATATTTTCTTCACATCAGTGCCTTAATGTTTGTACAATCTGTTCAGCTGCTTTCTGTACATTGTACTATTGAAGTGACTGTGTGGTTGGTACTGAATTGCCAAGTGTACTTCATTATCGACTAGGGCCAGCATCCAAACAGCATCACAAGGAACTATGCATGCAATCAGACTTTGTTTTGCTTGAAGTGCTAAAAAGGTAAGCCACTAGTCAATTTAAGTGGTTTGTCTTTTCAGAGAACTACTGCAGTAAAAACAACAAACAAAACTGAGACTCTATGAGCAGTTTGCTTCCAAAGACACATATCATTTCATAGTAATCATACCTTTACAAAGCTATGTTTACCTCTCCTTCTTTAATGTAGATATCTTTGTGTTTTCCATTTTCTATTATCTTGAGGCACATATCTCCATCCAGCTGGTAAAACAACTACAGTGTAGAACAAAACAGATAACACATCAATAGGCTTCATACACCATGACCTGGGTTCAAATGTTGATCCTCACAAAATCCCCTAGGGGATCACATAGCACCTCCAGCAGTTTTGTGTGATCCAAATGCAATTGGATGAGATATCATAATATCTGGGAGACTCCCTAAGCATGCAGAAAGTATTGGTAACTTAAAAAGCTCCCCCTCCCACCTAATGATAGCTGAGCATACTTAGTCCCCTTAGAATGTTGATAGCAATTGATTTAAGAGGAGGATGTGTAGGAGAGGAAGCCAACCTGCTGAAGTCCCTGAGAGAGAGATTTGGAGAGGAAATTTTTCCAAATGCAGTGCAGCAGCAAGTGTACAGCCTCTTCTAGAAAGTGTCACATCCCACCAGAAGGAGCAAGGGGATAGTATAGAGGTGTTCTAGATGCCTTACTGTCCAGGAAACTGGAAGAAACCATCTTCTAGCTTTAAATGGTTTACTAACTGCAGACATTCCTCTGGAAGGGTGATTTAGCCACAATCACACATTCCTTAGGAACATCCATATTAGCTTATGTTTGTGGGACTTCTTTAAAGATATTTTGGAAGCTTCTACTTTATATAGGGATGGGCACAAACTGCATTTTTGTGGTTCGGCTCATGGCTCATGGCCAAACCATGAACTAATAAGCCAGTTTGCGAACCGAACCAGTTTGTATAAGTTTGCGCAAAAAGCAAAAGGGAGCAAAAAGCAGAGGTTTAAATGGCTCCAAGCCATTTTAACCCTCTGCTTGCCACTGCTTTGGGCAGCAAGCAGAAAGGAGCCATTTCACCCCCTGCTTTCTGCTCCCTGCTTTTGGTGGTGAGCAGAAAGCAGGGGTGAAGTGGCTTGGAGCCATTTAAACCTAATCACTGAGTAGTGAGGAGCTCCCTGCCACTCAGCTGTTTTTGTGAAGAGCAGAAAGCAGGAGTTTAAATGGCTTGGAGCCATTTAAACCCCTATTTTATGCTTTTCATGAACTGCCACAAACCGCATCAAAATTCATGGAAGTTCATGGTGGTTCTTCAGTTCACAAACATTGCTTTGTGAACCACGAACTGCTCAAAATTCATGACGAACTTTAGTTCATGAGCTAGTTCATGGCAATTCCTAAAGGTAAAGCAGTTAGGGCCCTTATGATACCCCACTGATTGAAGTATGCATGCTCTTTCAAAATGACATTGACTTTCATAGTAACTGTGTTTGATCATCAGACTTACTGTATACAACTGCGTCAATCAGATGTCAGCTAATCACTCAGTCTGGTTGACTCTACCCTGAATAAATTTAGGCTTCTGCAAAATAGGTATACACTGGTACTGCTGTTTTGCTAGTCCAAATATATCAGCCTCCATGACCCTGCATCACGATCTTGATGTTCTTTGGTGGTCTCTCATCCAAATAGGAGGAGGAGAAGATGAGGAGATTGGATTTATACCCTGCCCTTCACTACCCAAAGGAGTCTCAGAGCAGCTTACAAACTCCTTTCCCTTTCCCTTCCCCTCCCCACAACAGACACCCTGTGAGGTAGGTGGGGATGAGAGAGGTCTGACAGAAATTGCTCTTTTTCAAGAACAGCTCTGAAAGAACTATGGCTTGCCCAAGGTCATCCAGCAGGTGCAAGTGGAGGAGTGGGGAATCAAACCGGTTTTCCCAGATTAGAGTCCGCGCACTTAACCACTTCACCAAACTGGCTACTGATCAGAACCAACCCTTCTTAGCTTCTTAGATCTAACAGGACATTCTGGGCCATCCACATGAGGCCCTGGATTAAGGACTACTGAGATAAATACTGAATGGTGCACAGTCCATAAAAATTCTGCTTCCTCTTCATGACCAGTAAACAGAATGTAAGCCAACATGGAGAGAGTTTGAGCATTCATAACCAGCTTCGAGTTTGCTTCTTGGCTCAATATAAGATGCCAGTTTTGGCTTTTAAAGCCCTAAACAGTTTGAGCTCAAAGTACCGCCTTCTATCATATCAGAGTGCATGACCTTTCAAATCAATGGAAGAGGCCTTCTTGTGGGAACTTCCCTTATTGGTGATGTGACTGGACAGGCCTCTCAGAAGGCTCTTTCAACTGTCAGCCCCACCTTGTAGAACTCACTCCCTCAAAAGGTGATGTTGGCATTATCTTTGCTTGCCTTTTGGAGAAATCTGAAGAAATCAGGAGAAATTGCAGAAGGCCTTTGAACTCATGGACTAACTGAGTGATAGTTGAAGATGCTGTCTCCAGTGAATCTTCTGCTTGTTTAAAAGACATTGTAAACATATTTTAGAAGTTTTATTATTGCTATGAGTTGTCTTGGGGACATATTGCTATGAGTTGTTTGGGGACATAAAGGCTTTGGTCAGACATGCCTTTAGATCCGACTCAGCTGGAATGACTGACGAAACTAAAGGGCACAATCAGACAGCAACATCTGAGAAAGGTCCTGCAGCCATTGGCACCCCGTGCTGCCCTGCCATAGAAGTGGAGTTAAAAGACATTGGGGAAAGTCCTAATGCTTACTGAGAGGCCAAGGATGGACTTTCCCCGTCTGATTGCTCAAGCATGCTCTCATGCCATCGGGGGGGGGGGTCTGCTCATTCCATCTCGACTCGGTGCTGGTTTTTCCCCTCACTTAGCAGTATGTGCATAACCACATACTCTATGTGGAGGTGCAATTCATTGTTTATGTGCATAGGAAACAAAAGAAAACCCCCCTGTGCCCACATGTGCCATCTGATCACACAGTGACGGGCTGAGCCCACAGCTTCAAAGATATGTGCTTGTGCAATGCCATGTCAATTTCCACCGGGTGGAAATAGACTTACTTCCCCTCCACACAAATGGCACATCTGATCACAGCCAAAAATTATTTACATGTATACAATAAACAAATTCCACATATGCCCTCAACTTGTTCATTCCAATACCAAAGTTGGGTTTTGAGAGCCTATGGGTACAACAATGAAATAGAGCCCCTTCCCCCCACACACAAAACAGGTATTTCTGCATACTCAAGGTACTATTGAGTTATACAGAAAAATATCCCTTTGTAAAGTATTTTCAAAATCTCCCATACATTGATGAGGATTGAGCATGTTAATTACTCTACTGGAGGCACAGAATGTTGAGGTCAGTTGAACATTAGTTGAAGGAAAAAGATGTATTGAGGGAATATCAGATAGAGTTGCCATCTCCAGGTAGGGGAAATTCCTGGAGATTTAGGGATGGAACCTAGGGTGGGTGGAGTTTGGAAAGGAATGGAGCTCGGCAGAGATTTGATGCCATGTAGTCCACACTCCAAGGTTTCCTGATCTTTGTGGTTCTCACTTTCAGGAGAACTCCAGGTCCTGGAGGTGGCAACTCTACAATTGAAAAGGTGTCCTCTAATCCCAAACCCTGGCATTTATTGGGCAGGGCAAGTTACAGCAAATTGGTTTGCAATTTATAAGCCAGGACATTTGTTTTTTCTCTCTCATACTCCACCCCCATGCCTTATTTAATCCTGAGAACAATTCTATCCATTGTAAACAGAGGAGACAAATCCAAAATACTATAAAGCTCACTCCAGTATTTTGCCTAGTGTTCTTAAGTGTTACTGTGGATGACCAACAGCAGAGAAACAAGCCTAAAAGGAACAAAGGAACTATGGACAAGAGAGCAGATGAGAATTAATTTCAGCAAAAAGGGGTTAATTAACTGTTTTGCAGCTTCCCTTCCCTCATTCCTTCTCAGGAAATCCAGACAAAAACTTCCTGCCAATTCCCCTTTATTGCTGTGAAACAAAAAGGGCTAGACATGAATGAATGCTGGGCAACCAGAGAGGTTTCAGGGTATTAAAACTGAGGGGCCATTCCCCCCCCCCATGCTTCCTGCAGATCTGGAGGTATTTAGGGAGGATATGTGTGTATCTATTTATTTGTTTATAAAATTGATCTCTTGTTCTTCTACAGAAAAAGTACTCGGGATGGCTTGTGTAAGTAATGCACAACTACTGAAGCAGTTTAAAGCTTAAATGCAGACATAGCCCTCACTTCTAAAGATGGCAGCAGAAATTTAAAATGCTCAGCGCACTGCCAAATTGAAAACTGAGTTGGCGTATCCTGTGTTTTCATGTCAAAATGTCAAACACTGCATTAATCTGCAAAGCAAATCCATTTGGGATGAGAAAGCAACATTTGGGTACAGTCCAAGTTTCCCTGATATTCATGAGACAATGTTTTCTTTTATTCTTAATTAAGAAGTACCTAATCATACATTCAATATTACATTCACAGATTTTGCTTATTCAATGGTTGCATTTCAAGCCACAGTACTTTCAGAAGGGGTAACCAAATAGTCTGTCTAATGCCTATTTTAGCCAATCACTTCCTATTTATATTTGAAGATACACAAACACATGAATCTGCCTTATTGAACCAGACCCTAAGTCCATCAAGCTCAGTATTGTCTACTCAAACTGGCAGCATCTCTCTAATGTCTCAGGCAGTGGTCTTGCACTTCACCTACTACCTGGACTTTTTAACTTCCTTCTGTGTCTCTCAAAACCCTGATTCACAAAGAAATTTGTTTTCACATTTATTTTAAATTTCACATTAATTGAATGTGTAGTGTAAAGTTTATGTTGCGTGAAAGTTGTTATTTGACAGTTTATTTCAGGCAATTATTAGCCAACAATTTTCACAAATCCTGGAGTGAGTAAAGGGATAATAATATTGAGGGAAGCTTTGCTGAAGCATTGAAGGAGTTATATGAGCCTCCCAGTCCTAAACTGCACTGGTGAAGTGGCCAGAACTGTGGACATGGAGACTTTTCATTGAAGGCTTACATTCCTGCTTTTTTTTTGCTGCTCAGCTGTTTAATGAGGGAGTAGGGGACACTGAATCCAGCTCCGTTCCCAAGCAGCAGAATTTTAAGCTTTGAGACTGTGGCTCCAGCTGTTGGATAGCAGAGAGGAACTGCATGTGCAGTGTTGGCCTGTGTGTACTAGGGATGCCAGCCTCCAGGTGGGACCTGGGGATCTCCTGGAATTACAGCTCATCTCCAGACTACAGAGGTCAGTTCCCCTGGAGAAAATGAATGCTTTGGAGGTTGGGCTCTATGGCCTTGTACCCCACTGAGGTCCCTGTTCTCCCCAGGCTCCATCCCCAAATCTCCAGGAGTTTTCCATCTTGGAGCTGGTAACCCCACCCCCACATCCCCTGCTGGTGGCCAGGGGGAACCTGGCAATCCTAATGTGTGGATTTTCTCATGTGGAAGCCTGCTTTGGTGAACATATAGATTAGGGCAGAGGCATGGTTCAGTGACAGAGCACCTGCTTGGCATGCAGAAAGCCCCAGGTTCAATCCCTGGCATCTCAAGTTGAAAGGATTTTGGGGTAAATGATGTGAAAGCCCTCCACCAGAAACCCTGCTGAGTGCTGAGCTGCTGCCAGTCAGAGTATACAATACTGATTTGTATAGATTAATGGCCTGACTCAGTAGAAGGAAGCTTCATGTGTTTGAGTGTCCACCCCATCAGCGGCCTGGATCCTGACATCTATCATGGTACTTAGGGGTATGGTATTTTATACTGTTGTTTTAATCTGGTTTTAACTGTGTTATATTTCACACTTTTGTTACCCGCCCTGGGCCTGCCCGCAGGGAGGGCGGGATATAAATCCAAATAAATAAACAATGAGGCAATGTGAGGCAGTAGCCATAAGCAATAGATTCTGAGGGGCTTCAGCCTATACTTTTGCCACCAGTGCTAGAGTTACCGATCTCCAAGTGGCACCTGGAGATCCCCCTCTATCACAGTTGATCTCCGGATGATCAAAACCAGTCCCCCTGGCGAAAATGACTGCTTTGGAGCATGGAATCTATGGCATTGCACTATGCTGAGGTCTCTCCCCATTCCCAAACTCCTCTATTTCCAGGCTCTACCTCCAAAATTTCCAGGCATTTCCCAAGCCTGAGCTGGCAATGCTAGAGCCACCCCCTCTGCCACCCCCTCTGCCTCCCCCTGCTCTTCAGAGCTGGAGAGGATAATTCTCCCCACTCCCATGGGCATCTTTAAGCACAGCGTAGCAAGACATGTTACATTTTAGCAAAAATACACCATTGAGGAAGACCATATGGTAAAAAAAACCCCCATGATTGGCAAGTAAACTAATTTTATGGCTAACAATGACTAATTTTGTCTTTGTCGGTATTGCCAATATCTTTGGTAATATATTATTGTCCATGCCTTAATTTGAATCATAATTAGGATATATTTATATACCTTTTCTACATATATGTATATTTAATGGTTGCATTAATTTTTTTAATACAAGGGAATGCATTGACATCTACTGGACACTTGGTAAAATTACAGTCTATTCATTTCGAAATCTCAGATGCACGTAATGTTTGTTGACATTTAAAAATAGCTTTATGTCTGGCTAGCAGAATAACATATGAAATTGGAAATCATCACTTTGTTAGCATACCCTGAGGTATTTGCATAAGAACTGTGCAAATCTTAATGGATCAAAACACATGATACAACATTGCAAATTGATAGCAATATTTTTTTACTTGCCCATCCCTTTCTTTCCTTTCTTTTCCTTTAATGTATTATTATACTTTATTCATTTATTTGAATAAATCTTTCTTGTATCCATGTTTCTTTTTATTGTTTTAGTAGAATATGTTGCTTTTGCTGACAATGGTGCACTGAACACAATTGAGAATTGATCCTGCTTTATCTGGATCATTGTTACTAGGATGCTATTCTTGCAGTAGTGTTGAAAATAAACATTTTTTTAAAAAAAAATGCATTATGTGAATAAGTCCTACTTTGTGTTTGTCCATATATTTGTAAATTGTAAAAATGTACAATGCTTCTTTGGTCTGATTGTGAAAAAAGCTCAAAAAGATCAATTCAATCCAGACTCCTAAGGCTCACAGCTAAGTGCATCAAATCGTGGCAATTTTGTTAAGAATGTTTTCCCCTTTGCATGTTCATGGTATGTACAAGCTCATCAGGGTTGCCGGCTCTGGGTTGGGAAATGTCTGGAGATTTGGGGGGTGGAGACTGGGGAAGGTGGGGCTTGGGGAGAGGAGGGACATATAATGTCATAGAGTCTTCCCTCCAAAGCTGCAGTTTTCTCCAGGAGAACTGATCTCTGTAATCTAGAAATCAGTTGTAATTCTGGGAGATCCTCAGGTCCCACCTGGAGGTAAGCAACCCCAGAGCTCATCAGGGTAAAAACCTGTTTTTTCCCTTATATGTTTATGTACAGTTTTATATACATAAATGGTACTATATAAGTGATCATTATTTACTAGAGTGGTAAATTGGATATGTTCTGCTAATCACAACACTAGTATGACCAGGCCATCCACAAACAAGGTAAAGATTTCTATACAGTGGTTTCATCAGACATACAGAAAAGTGTTACTTTGTAAATTAACCAAAAGAAAGGGGAGGCAACCCCCAAATGTGTCCTAATGAGGACTGAGCATTCTCTAAAAGGCAGGAAAAATTGAGAGCCACTGCAGCTCACTTAAAGACACAGGAGAAAAAGGGAGATAAGAATACTGGCCTGCTCAAGCCCCTGAAAATTTATAGAATCCGGGAGAGGGAGATGTGGGTACATACAAGGAAATTTCCAAATTATTTATATTCTTTACCTACCACCCACATTTTTGCAAGCCCAAAGGTAATTCTGTAAATGCCATTCATTATTGAGTCATTTTCCTATCACAAAAGTAGCCAAACCAGGCCACTCACAGTCCCTAGATATGTGGAAAAACATACTTTTAAAAAGAAGACTACTCCCCTCCAGAGCCTGATAAAGATCAGTTAAGTGGGGTGCCTGATGAAGATGGCCTCCTCATAGGGTTGCCAAGTGCTTTTTGAGCCGCAGCAAGGGACTCGGAAGTGACGTGATGACACCGGGCATGTTGGGGCGGGGCCACGATCATCCGAGGGAATGATCGTGGAGTTTTCCCTCGGATGACCATGGCCCTGCCCCCAGCGTGCCCGGCGTGGTCACGTCACTTCTGGGTGGCGTGCATGTCGGGGTGGGGTTCCCCCCAGGGCCCGATCCACCGCCGCCGGGGAACAGGCCTCTGGGGCTGGGGTTTCCCCGCCCCTCGGGGAGACTTGGCAAGCCTACCTCCTCAAGACCCTAATACCTCATAATATACAGGAGGGGGGATTCGGGTGAGAAGGAAAACTTCCCCTGTTATTTATTTCCCTCCCCTCCCCCCATGATTCCTTCCAGGTTCCCAGCTTTACTCATCATAATAAGATGCCTGAGAGGAAGATACAACCTTAAGTATTTTGTTGATACAACCTTAAGTATTTTGCTTTTAGGATAAAACTACTTTATTAGATAAAGAACTTCCCATGTGTTACCTCTTCTCCTTCTTCAATATGATAATCTTTTCTTTGGTTTGGTCCACCAACAAACATGACATTCAGCTGATGGTTGTGCCTATAGAAGAAGAAAAAAGACATAACATTCCCATGCTGCCTTTTTTATTGCAAGAATATGTGAAATGGTAGACAATAGCTCAGTCATAAAACAAGTTAATGATGTAAACTGAAACATGTAACAGGAACAATTGTCATAAAGACTGAAAAAGAAAGTCCCTTTAAGAAATTTAATGGGGAGGTAGAGTAAAATTCTCACCAAATCACACACAAAAAAAACCTTGGCAAAGTGAAAAGGTGTTTACTAAGGATTCAGTTCTGCTCAGCACTAGTAAACTTCCCATAGATTTTGGTGCAGCAGAAATGAAGTTTATCAGTGTAATACTAAGAGCACTTTCTTGGAAGTAAGCCCCACTGAGTTGGACTCTGGGAATTTCTGCTGAGAACTCTTCTCTCTATCTCAGCAAGTGATGGGGCCAAACAGGCTTCTCTTTCAAGAGCCTTAGAAGCTGTGGTCTTGCATTGGAAAGGACCTGCCTTGATCGCTCACCAACGGAAAGAATATCATGTAAGTGTAGGTCTCTCATGCAGCAGGCTTATATCATAGAATCATAGATTCCTAGAGTTGGAAGTGACCTCCAGGGTCATCTAGTCCTGCACAATGCAGGAAATTCACAAATACCTTCCCCCACACCTCCATTGACCGCTCTGCTCAGAAGATGACAAAAAAACCCTCCAGGATCTTCAGCCAAACTGGCCTGGAGAAAAATTGCTTCCTGACCCCAAAGTGGCAAAGTGGCAATCAGGATTTCCCTGGGCATGCATATAGAAATGTTGCTTTCTGCTTCTATATTCACATGCCTTCTCCTGTAATGTCTTTCTGATAACATGCTGTGTCTTATTTCCTCTCGCAAGCCCAAATGGCCTGCCCATTTGGCCAGAGAAACTTTATAACCATGCCATATAACCACACATTCTTTCACACCTCTAAGGGAAGAGGCAGACCTGATGGCTCCTGGCTCTGCCTCACATGCAAAAAGTCACGTAGGCAATGGAGAAGCTGGAGTTTGGGGTCATGTGACTGCAAGCATGGTCTCCAAACTTCTACCCTATCCCCACATGCAACTATGACAACCAACAATTGGGCACACCCATGCCCACTCGCAATTGGCTAATAGCCACATCTAATTTGTGACAGGAATTGGGCTATAATTGTTTGATTCCTATGGGAATTAGCTCTCTCTTAGCTCTTGCTCTCTGCTCCTGCTCTCTCTGCTTGTTTTATTGCACCTGAAATGCAGCCCTTGAGGGACAAAGGGTGGCTTTGTGAACTGGATGCATGCTTGCACAAGATGGGATTCCTACTCAAAATCCCTTGGTGCTAACTGG